CTTTGTTCACCAGGTGGCACTGAAGAGGTATTACTGCTGCTGTTTGAATCTTCCAAATAAGACCATACCCGCCATTGTATGGTTATATTTTCTTGGAAGGAGAATGATACGCAGGGCCGTTTATATTCGGTCCTTTTTTCGCATCGTCTCAAAGCAAAACAGATGTAGTTGCATTTAGTTTTTGAAAACGCTTCTAAAGCAGTTTTATAGTGACAGTTTTAGCAGTGGCGTGTTAATAGTCTGTCCGGCATTAAGAATAAACTACAGACCTTGAGTATTAACAGCTTACACGGTCCATTCATCAGATAGGCCTGTTCATAGTTCTGGAGATGAAGTAGTCGGTTGTGAATCTGCTACATGTTACTCCACGGAATTAGTTTTTAGTTATGGAACTGAAACTTAGGAAGCAGTTTTGGGGTCTTCATTTAATCACTGCTCAGTTTTAAAATTATCAAAACAGAGGAAAAAAGCTACCTCCGAATTGAGAAACCCACACTGGTTCCTATCTGCTGTTTCACGTTGTCTCAGAATTGTGACTCTAAAATCGGATCTGCGTTATTCGAGATCGTACGGTTAATGGTTAACTTGAATTCGAGTTACGTGCCTTACTCGGTGACGGTTCGATTTCGATTAAGTACATCCAATCCCTGGAGAAACATACGTGATCGAATTCGAGAAGCTTACTCCCCATTTTTACCTGACAGACATGTGGCTGTAGAAAACTACGCTGTCCACCGTACATTTCGCTTATACACCTGATTTATAGAAGCTTCCACCTTCTCAAAAAGTTCTCGATAATACGCTGACCATATTTTTATTATTGGCAACATCTTTCGATGCCACCAAGCCGCTTTCCCCCATTTCATTCACTACGTATTTGTAAGCACTTTTGGGAGCATTCTTGTTTTTGTATAAGCAACCGGTGTTGTACTCCACAAACATTCATGGGAACAATGTAATTCCACAAACTCTACGTTTTGCGCTAATGAAGACGTGGTGATTTTATTTTTGCAGATTGGTAACGGCGTTCAACAACATACAAAAATGAACGCAATTTGCAACTCGAACTCTATATTGGAGCTACTGGGTAATTGCTGAAACGGTAAAAAAGAGTTAGGACCTAGAATCAAGACTTCTTTGATTTTGAGTAATTTAAATTTTATCTTAAGTTTTACTCCTTTTCTGGTGAGCATCGAATATGAACTCAACAAGCCCGGTTTTAAAATTCTTTCTCTGCTGTGAATTGCATAAAATGAACGTGTAATGGGAAAATCGTGTTCATCTGTACGTCAGCGTTGCAAGTACGATTATTAAAATAACTTGGATTAAATGTCATGGACGACAAACACCAAAGTTGTTGGCCGATTTTAATTTCGCCCACAGCTGTTCAATGAAAGACGCTTTCAGATCTGCAAATTTAATTTGAAATTTGGTTTGGTGCTCTGCATACTAAACGAATACAATGCAGTGAAACAGTCTACCTGTTCTGTTCATTAGCTTTGTCAAGAAATATGCATCCGCAATATTGGACATCAAGACCAATAAAACATGCGAGGAACGCATTTTGAAAATAGCCTGTGTCACTCTAGATCGAAGTGATGCTTTCGACTCTCGCTCCAGCAAATCTCTTCGAACTCGCCGTCCTTTCATCCGATTACCATGGTAACATTTCCTGCAGTGTGTCTAGGTCGTCAAGACTGGCAAGTTCATGGTTGTAACGCAGATAGTCATCTTGACTTGGGTTTAACCTTTTGACCCTTTTTGTTATGCAGTGCTCATGTATGTGTGCCCACCTGCATTTTTACGTATTTTTCCTTTTGCTACCGCGTTCATTTCTTCGTTTGGTCCAACATTTCAGTTCGTAGGTCCATGTTATCTAGAACTACAGAATTTGTAAATGCTGTTCACCTATCAATAGGTTTAATGCATTACTAGAACGCTGATATGGGCGTGGCTTGTAACACAAATGGATGCGTCAATATCTGCTTATTCGGTTATTTTACGATGATATGTCAACTACTGAGATTATACGTCAAAGGAAATGAGAAATGAATGCAGAATATTGATTGGAGAAGATCAAGGGAAGGGATCACTGGATTTTGTGATTTGAATTGGCTCAGGATAGGGTCTATCGGCGGGCTTATGAGTTTGCTTCAAAGACAGTACGCAGTCTATTGAATACCCTTAGCTGAATAATTGGCAATTGATCAAGCAATACTTTTTTAGTGAAGCCAGTCAATCAATCCGTGCGATGTATAGATGAAGAGGCCTCTGTTGCGTTTTGATCCATGCAGGGTTGCAACTTTCTTGGATGTGTCGGAAAAGTCTAGATTTTGCCATCACGGGTCTCTGCAATAAAGAACGTTCCGAATTTTTGACATTATGTGTAACTTCGGGTTGGTATGAAGACCATAAAAACTGTATTTTACCTACACCGACCAGGGTCAGTATCCGTGTCCGTCCGCATGTTTTGTCTGTAAAAGTACTCAACGAATATCGATATATCGATTCGGGTTTATATTAATAGATTCCTGTCGAATTTAATTTTGGTGCACACTGGTGGGTGAACTGTGATTCCTGTCTTACACGAAGCCAAAATAGAACTTCGAGATTTCTGGAAAACAAGTCGTCTGGAGTTCTGAACCTGAACAGGCCTCATCATTGAAGATGATAATGATGATGATAATAATAATAATAAAAAAACAACACTAAGCAGGACATTATTTTGGATGGGGAGGGAGGGAGTTGAACCGGTAAGCTCCTCTGTAATACTGCCCTCTATGTAGTTATTGTTCCGATGTTGGATCACGGGCAGGAGAATACTGGGTCACACAACTGTTCGGACCTTAACTGAAGGGGTCCGCTGTGCCATGTGTCCAGGAGGCTGAAGAAAAGTCGCAAGGTGACGGCCACAGCCGGCAGATGACCCGGAAGGGGAAATTAAAATAGGGCCAACTGCTTCCGTCAGCTGGACTTCCCAAATCGAGCGAGTGCTGTGTACATTTTTTAACAATAAATTTAGGATTCTTTTTGAAGAACGACAGGCGAGTTTTAAAATGCGAAATATCTGCACCTTTGTTTGTGATGGTGATGAACTCATCGAAATGAATTATTGGGATTATTGGAAGTCCCCCCCCCCCCCCCCCCCAATAAATTCTGTGTTGGGGAGTGGGTGGGTTTTGAATTAATTTTTTTTCCTCAGTAGTAATTCACTGGAACTAGTGAGTTTAATTTAGCTTTATGGGGATAAAACAGATTGAAGGTGTTTGAGAACTGAGTGCCTAGATATTTGGACCTACGAGGGATGACGTGGAGAAAAGTGCGTAATGAGAAGCTCCATAATTTGTGGAGCAAGTAGCGCTCATGGGGAGATGAGAAATGCTTAAACATTGTTGGTTGGAAAACTTTAAAGCTGGGAAGAGACCTGTCGGAACACCTAGAAATAGAAGGGAGGATAATATTAAAATGTACTTTAGGTAAATAGAGTTTGAGGGTGTGAACTGAATTTATTTAGCTCAGGATAGGGACAGGTGGGGGGCTGTTGTGAACACGGTAACAAATATTCAATTTTCTTGATTAGCTGAACGTTCTGTTAGCTTCACAAGAAAAACTATGGTAATTAGAGGTGCAGTTAGCTATGTGACGTTTGAGGTTTTCACGACGCTGTGGTTAAAATGTGGATTGTGGTCTTTCGGGTTGTGACACGATGCAGTCTTGTATGTGCTGTGTATAGCTTACAAATATTAGATTTTCGTTTGTAGTAAATGATTCAAGGCCAGTGATGTACGGTAGAAAATTACCAAAAGGAAATGCATTTAATAATATATATACGCCAACACTTTTCCGCTCTTGTTTCTTTCCAAACTGTGTAATACAAGACATTGCCACCGAGAAAAGCCATCATGGCGTGGGTTTTCGAGTCTCTGTCGAGATCGTGGTCAATAAAATGTACATAATGCTGTCAAATTATTCAGTGTCTCAATTACTAAACTGCACTTTTCTTCCAGCAGTAAACAGGGTACACGAAGATACACATCAAGTCCTATAGTATCAAAAATTAATTCATTGAAAAAAAAGCTGCGATGGCCGGGAATCGAACCCGGATCAACTGCTTGGAAGGCAACTATGCTCACCATTACACCACCATCGCATTCACGTTTAAACTTCGTACCAATTGTATAAGTATGATGTAGCTCGCTACACAGTGGCGGCACTGATTTGTACCAGTGTCTGTTCCACCAGTTTTAAGACACAATGCTAAAGAAGATTTTGTCCCAATGCCTAAATTTCACGCTATGAAGACATGGGGAAAACTGCATGAACGTATCTTCATATTTTGTTCCCTGTACCAAATATCAGGAAGACATCAAATCAAGGAGGATGAGATTGGCGGGTCATGTACCGAGCAGCGGGAGATGAGAAATGCGTATACATTTTCGATTTGGAAACTTGGAGGAAAGAACCATTCGGAAGACCAAGACATAGATGGGAGATAATATTGAAATGGATGTACTTTAAATAGGATTTGGGGCTTGAATTGGATTCATCTGCCCCAGGGTATGGACCGATGGCGGGTTATTGTGAATGCGGTAACAAGCCTTTTGTACCATTGAAGGCGGGGAATTTCTTGCCAAACTGAGCTAAGAAGATTGTAAGATTAGCTTCTCAAGAAGGACACTGCTACAGGGCCGTAGTATCCAATAAGCACATTTAGCAAGGATAGAAATGCTGTATACAGAAAGAGGCAGCGTCATGTCAGTGTCAACTCTTATCATTCCGTAATTATTATTATTATCATCATCATCATCATCACCATCACCATCCTTTTACGCTATATAGTCTGAGCTACTGAAAAAGCGTCGTTAAATAAACCATAACCATCAACCTTATTATTCACTGCATATTCAAATTTGTAATCGATGACTTTGTTTAATGTTTCATTCTGAACGTCTGTAAAGTTCTGTTTCAAGGAACTTCATAGAGTTCCTCTCGTTCTGCAGGGTTCGAGTACCGAAGCAGCAGACGATTTCTTCACGCAAGTACACGAAGAGGACGACAGGGAGCGCGCAGATCAGCCAAATTCAGCACCGGCCAGTCCAGGCGTACCTCGGGGCGGTAAGTCCAACTTCTGGTCCTGCGTCATCGTATTGGCCCTTTACAACAAAATCATAACAAACTTTCTAGGAAGTTAACAAAAATCTGTCCAAGGGCGATTACAGGACGTGTGTGTACAATTTTGCTGGAAGACCGTTCCAAATACCAGCCTGACATTATGTCTGCATTCACCTGTAGATAGTTGTTCATCTGACAGTTCAAAGGGCATCGATTATAATCTCACAACCATCGTTATCATCAGAAAAACTCGCCATTCGTTTTGCCATGTATGCTGTGTCTCCAAACAAATTTTTCCCTTGTTGAGCGAGATTTCCGGTTCTCACTGCGGCGAGTGCGAAGACTGTTCTTGGGATGTTGCACCGTATCGTCACGTTGAATTTAACCGGAGTGTCTGAGGTAAGCTTGTACCAGATTTCACGGCGCAACATCCCGCAACCGCCTTGTTTTCCAAATACATAATGCACCCCACATGTTCTGCCCGTTTCATCATTTAGCTGTCCACACATGGTCTTCTTCATTTTGCGCTCTCTTAGTCTGAAGATAAGGCGGACTATGTGGACACAATCACAGACACAATCGAGGTATACCATCACTTGCTCGGCAAGAAGGAAATTTGTTGCAACTTGATTTTTCAGAGAAAACCCTGCGCAAGACTTAAAAAAAATTATGCTTTGTACTTCGAATAGGGTATTAAGATTTCATTCTACACGTAGTTTTAAATCATGGGGAGAGATGGCAGTAAGTGATGTGTGTTACTTGTTCCGCCAAGTACAGTGACTTATTCCAAAGTTACTCTGCAAGATGGCATGGGAATGCAAAGAAATGATCTTGTCTGATTTAACCAAAATGGCCACTTAAACCGCAGAATACAAAATTTGTGTGCAGTGTAATTGCATTATATTCTGATTTCTGAAGTAGCTTCTTCATTGTGAGAGAAGTTTTGTTTGAAGTGAAGCTTTCGCGGCGACTGAAGCTGATGAAAGACACTCAGGTTACAAGCCAAGTCAGGTGGCGCGCTACAAAGGATCAGATTTGTTACGCAGTAGCCCTGAGGATGAGAGCAGAGATTGTTCTCGAAACGTTGGCAGAAGATATGGTTTATTCACCATTCAGTCACCTGACGCGGTTTGTAGCCCGAGAGACTTTAATCAAGTTTTGTTTAGTTAGCAACAAGTGTGGAAGCCGTTTTATAAACTTCCCAAGTTTTTTTTGGCATATGATAATGCAATTATAATTACTATGGTTTAGTGTAGTGGTTGCCAAACAAAAATGGCGAATGCATGAGTAAAGAATGTGAGGTTGCCAGACAAAGCTTAGAGTAAGGTTTTTTGTGGATTGATCACTCCTTAAGTTATTTAAAATGTATTTTGAACTGTAGCAGTTTTATGCTATAAAATGACTTGAAAAAATTGTAATGAATGACAAGAATCTGGAAGGGGAAGATTCTGGTTTAAAACAAATTACAATCACAGTATGTGTAGTGAGACTGAGAAACCTTGTTTAGGATAGCTGGTTACCTGGTCAAAATGCAAACTACATCCCTTCCAAATAAAAGTTTAAGTTTTGCGTATTTCATTGTACCAACTTTGTTCTTAAAGTGGATGCTTCGTAATAAATATTACAGAAAGCGAGGAAGCTGATGGTGGTGAGGACCAAACAAAGTTGGTAACATCAGACTTCTTGGGTTTACATGATGAGTGGGAACTTGTTCAGGCGGTGGCACCAGGGTACCAGAGAGACGAGCAAGAGGCTCGTGAACAAGAGCTTTACTTCATCCCTAGTATGGGACCAGGTGAGCCATTGTTGATGACAAGTTGACTTATTTGATATTCTGTGTGCCATTACAGCTGTTACACTGTACAGAAGATGCCACGAAGTGTGGGAAAAAGTGATTTAAACTCCCAGCAGGACTTTAACTCTGTGATTAATTGTATAGCAGTATGCTGTTGTGATGCGCATCAAGCTGGACTTCACTTAAGAAATGAAGTAAAGATGATGATGGTTAAAGACTCAGAATATTTAAAGAAATAATTACAATTAATTTATGAACAATAACAACCTACAGTTTTATTTTGAACTTGGTACAGAGGTTTATGAGAACCATGGAATAAGGTATATAGGGGGAATGGAGGTATAGGCACTAAATGACAGTGTTTGGTGAGCTCCATGCTCCGACTACTTTACTCTCAAATGAGTTAAGTTTTGTGAGAATTCCTCACTCTGTAGTAAGTACCAGTATAGAGAGCCTTCATTACTTGCTGGCATTTTATGATTTAGAAGTATTTTATTACATGTGCAGTGCCACTGGAAGACAAGTTGAAACCTGGTCATGAGGTTCGTTACCTAGAAGAGGAGGGTCTGCATGTCGGCAATCATCTTGCTGTTACCAGCCGTAACACGAACAAGTTAGAACGCCGCCTGTTGGCTGGGGGAGACAGGTCGAGTACCCTCATATGAGTAGTCACCCCTTGGTAGTGCACATTGTGTATCCCTGTAGGAACACTGACTGACAGTCATGTAGATTGAGTAAAAAGTAAAGTTTGTCCCGCTACGTGCCATACAGGCGCTTGGGGTGAGTGGAGGTATAGCTCCTCTCTTTCTTGACCTCGGCACTAGATGGGGGTGAGTGGTCAGCATCACGCCCCGGCCGGCTTTACTCCCGGGAAAGGACCCCGGTACTCAATGTAGAGGAGGCTGGGTGGGCCCCAGAGCCGGTCTGGACGCAGAGGCTAGAGGAAAAATCCTCTGTCCCCGTCGGGGATCAAACCCTGGTTGTCCAGCCCGTAGCTAGTCACTATACTGACTGAGCTATCCCGGCTCATACGTAGATTGAGTAGCCCTATAATAACAATGACCCCTGGCCATGCACATTGATTAACTCCATAGGAACACTAACTCTAGTTACGCAGGTTGAGTACCCCAGTAGGACCAGTGACTCCCAGTAATGTGTGTTGAGCACACTCATGAAAAATGTAGCAGATAGAGAAACAAATGTTCTGGGCCTTAAAGTGTTCATCACTCATGCTAGAGCGTACAGTAATGTTGATAGAAAATTAAAACTTATATAGAAGATTTCTGTCTTCTGGGTCATTGCGCCGTGTAGTCTGGTTGATGTTAACCAATGTTTCATCGCCCTGATGACGGAGGCATTATGACCTCTGAAACGTTGGTAAAAGTTGACCAGACTACACAGAACAACAACCCAGAAGAAAGAAATCTTCATACTCATCGCTGTGAAAACCTCAAATCATACATAAAACTTATATAGTTGGGGTGACCTTAAGTGGCATGATATTAATACCAATCATTATGAAAATCTGTTAATTATTTCTGAAGTTATTAGGTAGGGATAGACACGTGGAAGGATGGAAATAGATATGATACTGCAGGCCTGTTGTTCCTTATAAAATTAGTAAAATATGTCAAAAAGAGGAGGAAACAAAAGAGGTTATGATATATGGATGGTTGAGCAAGAAGTTGTACAAAACTATGGCGGGGAAGCT